GGAGGAACCAAAAGCTATCATCATTGATCACGAGGATGAATGGGAGGTATCAGAAATTTTAGACTGTCGAAAGAAATTTAATAAAAAGGAATACTTAGTCAGCTGGAAAGGATTTGGCATGGAACATAACTCATGGGAACCGGAAGTCAACCTCAAGAATAGTAATGATTTATTAAATGAATTTAAGATGAAATTTCCAAATGCGGTCAAGAATTATAAAAGGACACAGAGTAAGTGAGAGGGCAAGCTTTTTCCCACAGGGTTTTTTAATGCTGCCCGTGGAAAGAATGCAGAACTCGCAAGAGGGGGTTTGGGCATAAAAAGGGGGATAATGTTATGATCTCAGGATGCATGTAACAGTGATCTCAGGATGCATGTAACAGGATGTGAAAGATCTGTAGGAGATGTCACAGGATTGGACTCCAACCTCTGTTGTACACGTCACGCTTGTATATCTTTTCCTTTCCTTCTCAACCGACAATCTACATACAATATTAGAGAAGCCACTCCTCAATCCCCGTCGAGAGATCCGTGCCGTGGCCTTAACAATATCAAATGGATAACATCCATCAATTGAGAATTTTTTGAGGAGTGGTTGGGATACCACCAAAATTGAGATGATGTCATACAGCATCATAAACCTGTACAGACCTGCTCCTGTATCTCCCCATCAAGAATATATAGTTTATTAACCTTTCTGACATCAATTGACTGAGTTATTGAGGTTTGAAAAAAAAATCACGGACAAAAAATACTATTTTTGTACTATACCTAAGAATTGATTCTGGAATATCTTCCGGATTTATGAATATACATACAAAAGAAAATTGATAATCCTTTTGAAAATATGTTTCTCCACATTTTTGTCCCCTAAAGCCTTCCTGTATGGGCAGTATTTCTACATGTAATTCCTGAATGTGTCTGCAAGTTTGGTTTTCTGAAGTTCTTTGCCCCAAGACAAAATTTTGAGAGAACATATAGCCAAAATCATTCTGAATTTGATTGATATACATGTAGATGGTATTCGACAAAAATTTCTGCCATAAACTTTGCCATATTCTGTCTAGAATCAAAGAATCAATGAAATTGTTGACTGCGCATGTACACACCACAATTACATATAGAAATACTGCCCATACAGGAAGGCTTTAGGGGACGAAAATGTGGAGAAACATATTTTCAAGAGGAATGTCAAATTTTTTGTGTATGTGTATTGATGAAGCTGGAAGATATTCCAGAATCAATTCTTAGGTATAGTACAAAAATAGTATTTTTTGTCCGTGATTTTTTTTTCAAACCTCAATAACTCAGTCACTTTACGTGACAAAGGTTAATAAACTATATATTCTTGGTGGGGAAATACAGGAGCAGGTTTGTACAGGTTTATGATGCTGTATGACATCATCTCAATTTTGGTGGTATGTCATATTTTGCTGGTAACTGACCCAAAACATCTTGATAGCAGATGGATGTTATGTTGAAAACAAATTGAAGTTTTGTTGAAAACATTTTGGAGACATCGGATGTACTGGCCTGCCAGTGACCAGTAGTTGGGGGCTGTGAAGGTTCTGGTGGATGATTAGAAAAGGACGGAGGTGGAGTCGGTGAAGAGCGATCATTTTCTGATTGTAACTTATCAATGGTAAGAGTCTGAGATGAATCAAGAACGGAATCGATCATAAAAATCTGAGATGAATCAAGAACGGAATGAATTGTAAGAGTCGGAGATGAATCAAGAACGGAATTGAGCGTCAGAGTCTGAGACGAATCAAGAACGGAATTGAGCGTAAGAGTTGGAGATGAATCAAGAACCGAATTGAGCGTAAGAGTCTGATATGAATCAAGAACGGAATTGATAAGAGTCTGAGATGAATCAAAAACAGAACTGATAAGAGTCTGAGATGAATCAAAAACAGAACTCATAAGAGTCTGAGATGAAGAATCAAAAACGGAACTCATAAGAGTCTGAGATGAAGAATCAAAAACGGAACTCATAAGAGTCTGAGATGAAGGATCAAGAACGGAACTGATAAGAGTCTGAGATGAAGAATCAGGAATCCTTGGTAAGAGTCGATGAATCAAAAACGGAAGAAGATTGTGATTCAATTATAAGTTTGATTTCAGCACCGTTTTGCGTTAAATCAAGTGAGAAAGGGCTTTCTGATTGGTTTCCGGAAGAGGTTGGAGGGATTGCTGTAAGTTTGGTCATGCTTTGGGCGATCCTGTGGGCTTTCCACCGTTTTTTTGAGCACGTGATGCGTTGCTTTTCTCCGGCATCTTCAAGCTTGAGTTAAGGCCAATTTGGTGGGTTTTGAGCCTGTGAAGTGACATGATTTGAGGTGGGGAAGGTCTTGAGCGGAAATCTTGGGTACAAAAAATACACCAGATATTGCTGGTCACAACTTTCCAAAATTTTGGACCAGGGCCGGCTCCGGGGCTGTTGCGGGTATTTCTGTGGTTGGGTCTTGATGATAACAACTGTAGTCGACAACACAATAGGTTGAGCTGATTGTGGCTCACACAAACCTGCAGATACAATGTCAGTTACGCCGATTGATAATGTAGGGTTATATGAAATAGCTCACGTCCAATGACCCAGTTTGAAGATTTGCCTACAGATGGGTCCAACCCCAAGGCCTGGTACAGTTCGGGCACTGTCAATAATAACTGGCGCAACCTACGGCGGCCAAACACCCGCGTTCCTAGCTCTTCATCCAAAAAAGATGAGCTGGAAATTAAGAGTCTCATCATGAGTCGGGTCTTAAACGTGTTGGTGATGTCTTGAACGGGACTGTGATGATTGGAGTGCACCCATGCGTGTCAAACCACACCATTGAAAGACTCAAATTGTTTGGTGGCGAAAAGGGAGGCTGGCCCAAATCTTTGTATAGAATCTTGAAGGTGCACCAGCATATGAAACTTTGGTTTATTCACCCAATGTGTGTTGAGCGCTATCAGGATGTTGAGGAACCTGCTGATGTGATTGTCCAATTTGGCAAGGTACGTCTTCATGTTGCTGATCTTGGTCTGAAATATGTATGAGCTCAACACACATAGAGAGGACCACATTGCCCTCAACCTGTCGGATAGGTATTCAAAAAGAACAAAAGGGACGGTCTGCAACACAGTTTGAAATTCCTTACCAACCAGCCTTTGATAATATGTCACAAATACATTGGGTTGAATTGGTGGCACCTTCAATCCTTTTGTGTTTACAGATCACCATCTGCCCGAGATATTGTTGTACACCTTTGAACCAGGCTTGATGTTGTCCAATTCTTTCATTGAATCTCGAAATAAATATTTTGTGATACCTAGTAACACCACGTGCAGCACCTGCACCGGGGTATCTGCATGCTCATTGAAACCTGAACGGTTGTGGAAAAATGTCAGTGCTGATGTATTTCCGGAAAGAGATAATGGAATACTCACCTTTGAGCCTCAAGAACGGATTGAATAGATGTTCTCTGTATTTATCATTCAACTCTTGACAGAGCTTGTCAACTTCGGCCGGTGGTAGAGAATCATGAGCCACATTCACACTTTTGCAAAAATGTTCCATGATTGTGTCTTTGACACCAAATTCACAAATTAATTTTTCCACTCGTGTCTTGTTGTGACGCTTTTGGGCTACCTCCCAGATATACTTTGTCCGCTCTCTTGTGAGATCCCATTCGCGTGCGGGAGGCAGCAACTACAGTGCTAGGTTAGTTGGAGTGTAGTTAGTCAGCATGATGAAGACATACTTACCTTATGGCCGTTGTCGTCCACACCCAAAAAGTCCCTGACATATCTTTCCGTGGGTTTGTCAGCCATTTTTGAGGCAGACAATTCACACATTTGACATGGTGTCAAAGTGTTCGAGGGATTGAGTGTGTTAGTGACTTTGGCATGCATTGGCGAGTCTCTGAGGTGGCACAGAGGTACGGGTATGACCCACACCTCTGCCTTGAGGCTGTGATCATATGCGGCAAAGCCGCTTTCACTGTGGACACTGCTGAACCGCAAACCTGTGTCAATAACAAAGATGGGCAATGTGAAAAAGGTGGTTTAGTACTTACTTTAAATTGTCTACAACCTGGTCAAATAACTCCAGTGCACTAGCGCAGTTTGAGGTTGCAAGGAAATGTACGTTGTATTCTTGATTCGACAACGCTGGTGGCAATCCTGCGAGAGTGAAATAAAGACACATATGTTTATTCCATTTTTTTGACACAATGCCCAATGTGTCATCAGAGTATAAAGATATTGGGACATGTTGGATAATTTTTCCTCCGGCCTTGGCTCGCCAACTATTGCGCACAGGATGTGATGGACAAGCAAGATTGTTTAGATCTGAGGGAACAAACACAAGAGGTCAGTGCAAGGGAACGAAGTGTTGTATAAGCAGGTGAAGTAGAGACTGACAATACAGATGATCACCACAAACGTCTTTCAACAAGACATTGTCGTCAAGCTTAATTTTGGGAAGGCTTCTCCAGAAGTCTTCACACTTGATTGTGAACATGTCATCGGAGTCAAAAGCGGGTTCCTCGGGTATCAAGATCTTCAAATTACGCTCTGGGTGATCTGGATCAGGGATCACCAAAGCGGGCAGACATCTGGCCATCGGGTGTTCTTCTTGTTGGAAGAAGAACACCGGTACCACCAGCTGCTGTGTTTGAAGTTGAACCGGCTTGTAGATGTAGTAGTGACGTTTGTTTTTGCTGATCATTGGGACACAAAGTTGAGGTGAATATCCCTTGCGCCACCTTTGAGACTGTGACAGCCGGTTTATAGGGCCATTTTCCGTGAGCTCTGGGAGATAAACTAGATGAGGGCTGACCAAAGGGTTGGCCAACTCCTGCAAACAGATGGTGAGATTTATGGATCAACAATTGGGGTTAATTATCGTGAATTTTACTTACATTCATGATGATATTCTTGATATTCAAACCAAATAGGGGATTCCCGCAGGGGCTTATCCGTTCACAAACCTGCAATCCCAAGTTTTTCTTCATTCACTTGACAATAGCTCTCAAGGTGCCCCATTCCGGAAGGTTGACGTTGAGGATTCGCAATATAGAACAAATCCGCTGGTATTGGGTGCGGGAAAGAAGATTCCTTGTTGAGCCCATTATCAACAACACCACTACATGCTGCCAGAGTTCAGAAAGTAAGTTCCTTGGTACATAGTGTGAGAAAAGTTGTTGTCAAACACACCTTGACTTTTTTGAAAGGATACCACTCCTCGGCGTCTTCAACTTGAACTTTGGCAATATCTTCTTCAAGACATTCTTCATCCAAGCGCTCATCTTCCTCTTCATCGTTGCAATCATTCGCTAGGGCTTCAAAAGCTGCACACAGCTTTTCAAAGTTCAATCCACCATCCGAATCATCAGCGTTGGTTCCGCTCTCACCCCAGCCAAGGTCAAACGGGTCGGCTGGATCAAAATCGAGTGCACGGAGGTGTGACAGGGGCGACAGAGGGGGAGAATGAGGATCAGAAAGTGCGATGTCACCGGTTGAGTCAAAAGCATGGTTGACATTGTTCATCTGAGGTGATGGAGATTGAGGTCTAGGTTGTGCAAATTGCTGGCGTTGAGCATAATCGGCCTGCCGTTGGTCATCGAAAGACTTGACTAAGTCCAAATGGGCCTTGGAGGACACATGAGGGTATAACGTCCTCATGCTGTGGCCGCCTTGGCACACACTGCCTCAGTATCTGGTTGCCCCGTGACATTGAGGGTGTGAGGTCATGCCTGCTGAACAATGGCGTCAGTATTATTCTTGAGGTCGTAAGGAGGTTTGTAAAGTGTTCACTGACATTGAGGGAGTTCTGGTGCCATTTGAGACGTGGTGGTGGTATCTGGTGGTATCCCTCAAGTGAGTTTGGTGAATCGGTGACTTGTGCAAAATAAAAATTTGGGGGCTCAGGACTCCCCACGGGTAATATCGGCCCATTTGACCCGGGGCAGCCACTGGCGGTCTACCGGCGGGCCTGCATGAGCAGATCGTCAAGCTGGTCTGACAGACGGTCAAGCTGGGCAGCCAATGGGCCGCCTGATTGATTCTGAGCCACATGCCGCCAAATTTTGGTCTCATTGTCGGTCCTCAGCCCTTTTGCGGGCCTGACCATCCTCAGGCCATGGCTGGCCAATTTCAGACAAGAAGTGCTCCCGTGGTGTACACTCTGTGCAAATTGCAAAATAGTAGTACTAAAAGGGGGACAAATTCGTGTTACTCCTGTTGGACCCTTTGAACTAATTGATGGTCCCCTCAATCACATATCACAATCTAAACATTCATTGATTGAGTAAATTGTGTTTGGTTGTGGCTTTTGGCAACCTCCAGGGAAATCTGTGACGCAGGATACAACGTGTTGAACTGCTGTACGGTTGAAAAACTCCCCAGGCACAAGTTTCTTGCTCAGACACCAAATTTTGTGGAGTCTCTCTTGCAGGCTTGCTCGCCGAGAGGGACTGTGTTAACTGCACGCGTTTTTGTTTTCGAGAGGTACCCAAGAAGAATTTGTTTGGACACTGCAAAACCAAATTGTTTAAAAACCATAACACCGGCCTGGCCAACTGTGCCAGTATGGTCGCGTGCAGGAGCATCAGGGTGATTTAGGGTGATTTTTGGGAAATTGCCGTATGTAAAGTTTTCGTACGGTTCTGTCAGTAGACGTCTTCAGTGGCGCAGTGGTGATGCTCTTTGGTTTTATTTAGCTACAGTCTAACCCGCGCTGTTGTATACCCGCGCATATGCATATCCAGCCAAAATGCATAGGTTTTGGTCTCCACCACGCTGGTGCGGGCCAAAACAAGATTTTAGTTGCATATTGCATGATGCATAGGGTCAAAGCAAAAAAAATTATATCTTGGAAGCGGTATTGCATAGGTCAAACCCAGTGATGTGGTGGTGATACTGACAAAAAGCAACAGCAGTTGTGCTTTGGAATGATCAGCAAAGTGATATCACCCACCTCACACGATCTTCGGCTCCCTTAGATCAATTTGCATCTTTTTTCATCATGTCTGCTACTGAAAACAAGGAATTAGCTCACATAGAGGGCACTGGTACAGCTTCTGGTCTCAAATTGGACAACTCTTTGCAGAAGTATGCCGAGATGCTTGAGTCCGAGCTGTTTTTTGGTAACAAAAAACAAGTGGCAATAACTGATTTCTTCCAACGTGTGACTATATCTAACACTTGATTATCGATAGCCTTCAAAAATACTTCAATTTCTTTCTTTTTGTACATGTCGTACCAAATAAGCACAAGTCCTCAAAAGTTATTGTTTGTTGACTGTTTTTTGTAACACATTGTACTTGATAAAGCATGTTCTTGAAAACAATTGTTTTTGTTTCTTTCTGTACATATCGTACTAAATAGACAACAAATGTCCTCAAAATTAAACACTTTCTTACTGAAGTTTTCCCACCTTCACCCTCTCTTGTCCCATATGGGTGGGGTAATACAATAACCGTACTAATGCATAATTCTATGCAATACACCCCAAAATCTAAATGCATATTTTTATGCATTTTGGGGGTGTAGGTCAAAAAGCATAACCCGTCTAATTGCATAGGAAAGTGAGTCTCCCCAAATTATGCATTAGCGCGGGTTAGACTGTATAAAGTGATCGAAGTCAATCTCATTTTGTTTTAAGTTTTCAAAACGATCTTCGTTCCTCAGATTTGTCTCTTTCATTCGATCAGTGTATGTACATATCAGCCTTGTTAAAAGCTTTGTTTCTCACAGACCTTTCATTCGATTCCCATTTGTCACGAGAAATGGAGCTTCCACCTTCAAGTATCCCATCAAGGACGAAGCAGCATATGTGACATCTACGATCACTTGGCTTAACATCAGCCCCAACAACCCCGCAGACGGCTGCGGAGGCCTCAGAATGGTTGGCGAGATTCACGAGATGGGGGGATGGTCTTGAAGCTCAATAAAGAATACAGTGTGCTGTACGATTTGAGCACGCGGTTTTGCGAATCGGGCGCATTGATTGAAAATGCTTGCAATTCATGATTGCAATTAAACTCACGTGGAGAGCCTTCAGATTTTGAATTCGATCTCCCACAATATCTGTCTGGATTGGATCTATTGGATGTAAAGCTCGGCTTGAATGATATGAATGATTTGATGAATGACTTTCAGATAGCTGTCTTGTGCGTATGTAACATATCAAATCATTCGCATTCGTCACAATCCCAGTCTGATATTGGATGTGATTCAGACTCTCAAATCGACCTCGCCGAATGAAGAGACAAGGGTCAAGAGTCAAGAGTCAAGAGTCAAGAGTCAAGACTGGTGAATAAATTGTTCTGATCAATACTCAAAAGGTCCACCATTGATCAACCAAGACGCCCGTCATATCGATTCCTTCAAGCCGTAACACCTCTCGCCACCTAGGCTCAGCCTCACCTTCATTCTTTCACGTCCAGCTATACGACTTTCATCATGTCGTGCCAAGCACCCAAATTACCGGTCTTCAAGCCTGATGTCAACCCCTACCCAGTGTATCAAGAATCAGCGGTGCGCTTGTCTTGCTAGATGAGGGATCCTTTTACTTTCTTTTGAGAACATCATATCTGATATCAACAATTCACATATTCACATATTCACATATTCATTTTTAGTCGCGAATTGTTTTCCCGGAAATTCCATCCTGGAGCCTACCCGTTCTAGCGTTGCTCGCAGTGTGGAGAGCCTTGATGATGATGGCCTGTGTGTCAATCGTAGTAATACCTATTTGGCGCGGAAAGGCCAGTCGAAAGAAACATCTTTGGCTATTCCGGACACACTATCCTTCCATGGGTGATTTCATGACTTTTTTTTATTTTTTATGGGATTAAAGATTCTGAGAGATTATCATGACTGATCAAGATTACATATTACAGCTTCAAGAAGAAATCGAGTACCGTACATTGTTCCTAATCGAGGGTTAGTTGTGGCGATTTGCGAGTTTTTCTCTTCAGGTCTCTATTGCATATTAGCGTGTTTCAACTATAAAGTACGTAAGAGATCAAAAGTTTCTCTCGTCTCTAGTTTCGATATAGTCAATCGGACTATCAAGGCCAACTTCTACATCCATAGCTGATCCTGTTTGGAAATAATCATCATTGCTTACGGCTTTAGTCATTCACAACCCCTTCTTTCACCGAGAAGATTCAATTGACGTTATGGTCAGTCTTGCGCCCCATGTTTTATACCTTGAGCAGCTTATATTTATGCTAAGAATTCATGTAGGTACGGTATTGCGTGAGTCTTCATTTGGAATGCGGCCGTCTCAGCAATCTGAAGACTGCTGACTCTACATAAATCGGCTCTCATATCATCTTGACGTCATCAGATGGCTTCCGTGAGCACATCAATTCCAATCCTTACATCTTCCCTAAGCGTCTGACAACTCTGCATTAACATTATCAGTTCGTACATTGGTATATGGCTCTCGGGCTGGGGCCTGTGTCACGCCTGGTAAGTTGAAGTCTAATCACAAAGAGTTGATTGATGCTCTGAATATACGGTAACGCAAATCATCTGATCCGATTGCCGGATATACCATCAGTTTATGCAACGGAGATTCTGCCCGCAAAAGGGTTCCCAGTTTCTTGACACCGACCATCTTCAATCTATTGTGGGCCTCATGGTTGCTCATAGTACTTGTAGCACACTCAGTCTGCGCAACATTGCTCACACAAGCTACGATCACAACCTATCATCACTTTGATAAACTACAAGCCGTATTGGAGCAGGCAGAAGCAGAATGGACGCCTAATAGCCGTCCAGATGTTCGAGCCATGACAGCGCTTTTGAAAGAGTTGGAGAGTTTACTGACTAACTGTAAAGTGGTGGAGTTCCGGATGAGTGTATGGTACATATTTTGGATTGTATTCGGTTTGGTTCTTGCTTGCGTAAGTCATCTGGAGTTTTTTGATTTGATGTGTGATCGATCTGACACCTTTTGGTCGAGATTTAGTTTTACGTCTTCACAGCACAATATCTTGTGAGGTTGGTTAGAAACCTTTTACAAAAGTGTCAAACTCAAGCTTTAGCCTGTCGTGAAAATGTTGGACCAAATCGAAGAGGTGAAGTACCTGCAAAGGAATTAGTTAGCAAAAATACTACTCATGCCATCACTGAATTACAAAGAGAATTTCGTTAGCTTCAACACTTTTTTTTTCACCACCGTTGAATTCTTTGCCTATCTGACTTCTGTTTGATCCGAGACAGGCTTCCTCGCTGCTCATAGTATTTTGATCACGTTGGTCTTAATATGTGAAATAGCAGTCCCGGCTTACCAGGTTGGACTCAGTCATCATATCGCATCGTGAGTCTTCGATACCAACCTTTCATCTTCTAAGCAAGTCATACGTCATATTTAAATACTAGTCGATCCTGTTGTTAAAATTTCAGAGGGGCTTGGCGAACAGGTAGTGCCTTCATAGTAATGGCACCGAGCACCTTTATCTCGCCTGCACTGATATTCCAATCGGTTAGTTCATTCACCTTGGTTTGATGATTTTCAAAGCTGACACCTCATCCTATATCTTCATTTAGTGGAGACTGTTATCAGAACATAGCAACGCTGCAGAGTCAGATCTGAACCAAGCTCTTTCTGAAACAGATGATATCCAGTTACCAATCTTTGCTACCCAATTTCTCAATGGACGCTTTAGCGCAGAGCCGCAAGGACCCGACGCGTTTTCGGCACTACCTAGTACTACCTCTACTAAGCAGTCTAGTCTTGATGTTAGAATCGTAAGATCTGTTTCGGTATTTGATTCTAATGTGACGGCGGACAACACGAGAGAGTTTCCTGGTGACTCAAAACTGTTTAGCTTTAGTGACTCTGACTCGAAATGAGATCAAATTATTTTTCTTACTCTCATACAGCTGAGGTGACTACGTCTTCTTATCATAAAGTAACATTGTAGCTCGGTGTTTATGAAATGTTGATCGCTTGATATATCATTTCAAAACATAATCTGTTATATTGTGAAGATTAACCAATTTTTTAAGATGTTCATATTTTGATTGTTTCACTCCTTGGCATCATTCAGATTATCTTTTAGTTCGTCAAATATGCAATTCTTAATTTTGATTCTCTCATGGTGATAGTTCATGTTGCAATTCGATCGCTGTACTTTAGCTGTCTACCAAGAAAGCAAGGCTGAGACCTCCTGAAATCGAGCTGCTGGTGTCATGTTGCAACGTATCGATCAAGCAAGCAAAACTCGTTTTGTTACTCATGATAACATTTTAAAACCTGATGTGAATGTTCTGAATCACTGCTGGGATTGCTACTTACATCATTGTCAGAGTCATCCTGGTCAACTTCATCAGCCTCCTCTACTACTTCCTCGTCAATGATAGCCATCACACTGATTGTGGGAAATCGACCTAAAGTGTTGTGTCGAACTCGTCTTGGCTTCATCCCAAGCGCATCAATTACCCACCTTGGAGATAAGCCCCATCTTGTGGCAAAAACACCGCATTGACATTGTTGATGGTTCCCATTCAATATCATGGCCAGAGATTGAACCCTCTTCCTTGAGCTGTCAATGCAACTCTCGTCTCATAGTGAAGTTGTTACTTCCAGAGTCAGACACACTAGCAAGCATGTAAAAAAATCACAGTTAATATCAGCATCAAAAAAGCAAGAAAAGTAAAATAAAGAAAAAGAAGTGAAAGAACGACCAAAGTATAATTAATTTGAAACCAAACTCATCTTTTGATAAAGATCATTCTTTGTCAGAATGGCGACCATTGGCTCGGCGAGTAAATGACCTTGGTAATGCCATGCCACCACCTTCAAACTGAGATGCCAAACAACATATGTCCAGTCTTGCTTGATGTAGGAGACTGATGCTCCGGTGAAAGCATGTAAGTTACCTCTAACTGTCCAGACATCTTGAATCAAACAAAATTTGGTATTTAATTCCTGTAAAAAAATGAAGTACAAAGTGTCAGTCAAAGAGAGCGTAAAGCATAGTAGAGATTCAAAAAAGAGATAGATATAGATATTGAAAGTGAATGCCTTGGGCTTGATTTCTATAACAAGATCTCTGAGTGAGAGATAGAGATGCTTGGCCTCATCTGCTGACCATGGCTCATAACACTTGATTTTGAGTGCATCGGAAAGCTGGTATTTGCCTGAAGATAGTTCATAAATGAAGCAAATACGTGGCGGGCCTGCAAAGACAATACCAGAACCGCTCTGATACACTACAGATTTTCACCTGTTTTTGTATCGGAGCGGCTTTGCCGCTATATTAAACCTCGATGTGAACCTATATTTACTTTAAAAGAAATCTTACAAAGTATTGGAGCGGTAAAATCGCTCCAATACCGCTCCAATATCGCGTTATAGCGCATTGACATCAGAAACAGTAAATTTTTATTATAAAGCCTATTTGTACGCTTACCCAGCCTATAGGGCTGGGTCAGGTAGGAGAGTAGGTTGGGGGGGGTTGAGAGAAACAAAAAAACATATAACAAGAAACAAAATTGAGTCAAGAGAGTAAACATAAGCATTACAACAATCCCACTAGCGTTTCTTTTTCGCCAATTCATTTAAGAATGCTTGCAAGACCTTTGCTGCTGACTCAAACGCTCCATCAAGCAGGATGCCTTCCTTCAACCATGCCTGAGAACCCACTAGGTGTTCCATTGTCCTAGGGAGCAGGCTACCTTGCAAGGGTGTACAAACATCCGCAGCTGCTGGGAAAGTGCGCTTGCACGCGCAAGACGTCGCGGATATAGCTAAGTACTCTGGAGCCAGCTTGGCAAGGATTGGAAAGCGACCTTGGTGTTCCTGTCAGTCAGAGGAATGTATGTTAGCAAGTCGAGATTAAAAAGAGAGTTAGTTATGAAATTACTTGCCTTCCACCACTCAAGAGGCGTTTGATCCTTTTTGATAGGGAAGTTACCTTGCAAGTACTCATCCAATTCCAAAGTAGATGACAAGTTAGCAGCACCTCCACCAATTCCAAATACATCGAACGCATTGGATTCAGAAGGTTCGTGAGTCTCTTCCGGTAAGTGACATTGTCCACAACTTTCCTCCACAAGCCAACTATACGCTGCTTCAATCACCAATTTAGATGAGAATTCCTGCTCAGGATAATGAACCTGAAAGGATTTCGTTTGAAAGCAGGGGTTTAGTATGGTTGCTAGAACCAAGGCTTCACATTCAACGGCCTTGTCTTGGTACTTTTGAAGCCAATCTATCATTACATCGATTGCATTCTTGAGGCTGGGATAGGCAAAAGTGTTGGCTTGATGATTCTTAAGCTCGGTTATTACCCGTTTGTACTCAGCGAGTACAATGCAGCCCGTAGGGCCATTGCCCTCAACCCAAGCTGTTGCTTCCACAAAGGTCTATGAAAGTTGGTCAGCAAGTAAACCAAAGAAAGAACAAACATTCACTAAGATGAAAAAAATTACTAACCTTCAACACCTTATTCACCAACTCCACCACTTGCCATTCAGATGCTGAGATGGTTACTCCTTTAAAAAATTGGGCCTTGCGATTGGCTGATATCATTGAGCCGATTACCTACAAAGACAAAATAAGACAAAGAGAAAATATCAGATGACTGTAAAGAATAAGGAGATAGACAAAAGATAACTACCTCTTGAGCCTCTCAGGCTATCTTACAGCTTTCATAATGGCTGTTCCATCTGGTCTTGCACGGCCTTTTGAGCATTCGGCCTCCGTATCCAATACAAGCGGCTTGTGTCTTGAAGTTGCTTTGGCGGGCCGCACTGCTAGCAATCTGCCCGCTGATTGTGTCAACCTAAGGGATAGAACAATATCAGAATAATGATATCAGAAGTTAAAAACAAATAAAGAAAGGAAATCTTACCTTCCCAAGTGAGATTGCAACTAAATCATCTTTGTTGCCAGCTATATCCTCCTCCTCATCAAGTTCAGATACAGATTCATCATCAACTCCATCAGGCTCCACAGGAAATTATTGTTGTATTCATCTGATTCAGCGTCATCATCTTGAATATCGTACTCGTTTCCATTGACCTCCAAAGCTGGAGCTGGGAGTGCCACACCGTGCAGAATACTTGGCTTTGTTAAGATATTATCTTCGTGTGTGGTCAAAGATCATTACCATCTTAGGTAGTGTGCTGTTGGTGTAAGCGGTTAATGTTGGTGTACAGTGTTTGTTCGGTAGCGGTTGGTGGTGTGATTGGATGCAAGGGGTTGAACTGTTGATTTCAATCAAGGGGTATTGAAAAATTCTGGGTTTCTCTCTATTTGATGTGTCGCGTCTGTTTTCCCCCCTCTCTTTCTGATTCTTTTCCTCGTCGAAAAGAATTAGTAAGTCCTTTTTCTCAATTGTTATTCTCAACTTTTATCAATAACTAATCTTATTATTATTACTTTTAAATCTTCATTCGGTTCTGTTTTAAGTTTTGTTTATTTTCCTGTTCTTAAAACTGAACCTCACCGCGCGCTCTTCAATTCTATTCGAGCTCGCAGGTAGTTACACTGTTTCTCTTTTACATTTTTAGTTTTGTTCTTTTCTGATTCTTTCTCTGTTGTTGGACCTGCTTAGGTCAGTATCTTGATCTCGTCGTAGACTAGCAGAATAGCTTGTGTCTTACGCGGAATCCTGTGCCCTCAGGTGTGTGGTCAAAAAGAATTATTTTGTTTATTTTCCTGTTCTTAAAACTGAACCTCACCGCGCGCTCTTCAATTCTATTCGCGCTCGCAGGTCAGTATCTTGATCTCGTCGTAGACTAGCAGAATAGCTTGTGTCTTACGCGGAATCCTGTGCCCTCAGGTCAGTATCTTGATCTCGTCGTAGACTAGCAGAATAGCTTGTGTCTTACGCGGAATCCTGTGCCCTCAGGTATTCAATTTTCTTCCACAAAGCTTTCTCTCAATCTAGTCATTTTCACCAGACAAGTTCTGGGTACGGGACAAACGGTTCTTTGAAAATTTATAGGCTTTGCAGGTCCTACCTTCTGGCCTAGAACCTTGAGTCCATGCCCGACCACAAGATTGAGCTTGTGGGCGTAGCATTGGATGTGGTGGGGTGATCCATCCCACGCGAATGGGTCTTCAGCACTGGAGAACATCGATTGGAGCTTGGACGCCATGGTCACATTGTTACCACCGCTGTCTGTGGTCTGAGCTAACATGTGAGCAGGCATAAAATAAACAATTAGTTCAGAAAATAAAAACAAAAAGATAAAAATTATAAAGAGCTCATTTTTTTGTGAAGGCCATGTCGCACTAAGAACCTTCCAATTGGGTGTGCTAAAAGGACCCCAAAATGACGCCATCACAGCCAGCATATTTGGCTCGGAGCCAAAAATCAGAGGATTCCTCAGACTCTGACTCTGAGTTAACCCCCATCCGAGGATCCAATCCGAGGCAACGGCCAGGGCCAACATTTGCTTCGGAATTAGCCCTCGGGTGCCCTTTTCCTCGGGGGCGCCGTCCGAGGACTCCTCGGACGTTTGTCTCCGAGCCAAATATGCCGGCAGTGCATCCCACCATCTTGAGGGTGAGATGGGTCGACTTGTAGTTCCAATCTGAATCAATGTAGTTTGCGGTTGCTCCTACAAACGTGTACCTATTTCCTTTAGTTGTCCAGACGTCGTGGTTGCGGCAGAATTTCCCTTTGTTTTCCTACATATATATTATATACAAAGTCTCATGTCAGTATTGGAAATACTATGTGAAGTGGATAACAAGTAGGAAAACTTACGATTAAATTTCGAATGGCTTTGTTGTGCAGTGCTGAAAAGAGGACCACAGACTGCTTGGCTGCCCATGTGGACAATCACACAACAGCGCTTTGATTGACATGTTGAAAAGGCGCGCAAAGAGTGGGGTCTTCAAATCGAGCCCATGGCAAGGCGTGTCGAACAACCCACATGACCAATATCATGTTGAGAAGATCAACAGTGAATGCGGGTCTACTGACATATGAAGTTAGACTAGAGTGTTTACTCTTGAAATTAGCAGCCTGAGTTTTGAGGTAGCTGGGTGGCAGTTGGACACCTCGCGCGATAGCTCAAGCCCTTTGGGGGCACGAAGGTCGTTTCGAGTTACCGTCTTGATGGCCCCATAGGTTCCAATAAGTATCTTCACCTTTAGTGTATACGTTTAAACACCATCGGCATTTGTAGTCTTGACCCTACATAGATGATAAGAAACGGTGAAGACAGAACTTATGATCAGATCG